TCTGATTCCTTCCGAACCTAAACTGGAGATGTATAAAAATGGACCATTATACCGATCCATATTGATATATAATAAAATTCCCGTTATTATTAAAACAGAATCTAATATAAACATATTTAAGTATAAATTGAGGCAGCATGTTATAAAAAAAGCATATTATTCTGTTGATGAATTTATGAATGAAAAATAAATTTAATTTAATTTAACTTAATTATGCTTGACCTGTTTATTTGATTTGATTTAGTTTGACATAATTATGTTTGACCTATTAATTTGATTTAACTTGATACGATATGATATGATTATGATGACATGATATGATATAAATTTACTTGATTAATTTTTAAAATGGATTGATTTTGTTTAAATTTGGTTGGACCTGATGTGATTTAATATGTTAAACAATAGGGTGAAATTAATGTATTTAATGTTAAGCTTAAGTTTGTTGCAACACCCCAACGGGGTCATGTACCACTCTCTATTAAGTATGTAAGACCTTATAATAAAAAATGTACATGAGCAATGTGATATAAATAAATAAAAAAATAAAAATAATATTTTTTAAGGCAGTTTCAGGTACTGTGATGGCTTTGTATCCTTCTGTCTAGACAATCACTACACGCAACTTAAACTAGAAAATTGGAAATCATTTATTCAAGTAATTTATGTTATTAACGGGTTTGTTACCATGTATCTTGTATTAAAATATCGGAAACCCTCTAAAAACTAGGTATCTACATAAAAGTTTAAAACAATATATCTTTAATTCAGTTTTAACCAAACGCACTGCAGACATTATTGAAGTTATACTTCTTTAGGCGCGTTATGAAAAAATGATGAGAGTGAAATTTTAAGATGCGCGCGCATCACTGTAGCACAAAAATTAACAGCATGAAGTTGGTCGCTTTAGCGACCAACTTCATGCTGTTACTTTTGTGTTTACCGCACATTAAGAAAATCTACCAACAAAATAGAAATAGAATCTCTATTTAGTGGGTGCTAACGACTGCATTGTGAAGGCCTATCAATAGTATTTATTAATCTGGAATAACGGAACCAAAGCGCGATTCAGGAGACTACAGCGCCATCTCTTGACCATTGGTGTAGTAGAACCAAAAACCACATCTTTATTTTTTGTAATAAAGTAACAGTTATAGGTATTCATATTTATAATATTTATCCACATGTTTCTAGTTTGTATATTCGGAATACGTGTTTGAGTTTCATACAAGTTCAAATCACATATGTTCTAATAAATTATATTCAGTAGCGATTTTAATTGAATATTTTGATTATTTATTTATTTTTTCAAATTAAAACTGAACTTTATTGACTGTGTCCTTTTCCAGACTTTTTATTCATTTATTGTAATTAATTATTTGCATGCAATTAAAAACTAATTTTAAACGATGCCAAAGAAGGATAACTTCTCACGCGCCTACATAAGTACACGCACCCATTTTTTATTTGTGATATTCATCTGCTTTGTATTACACTCACAAAAGATGAACTTGTCGCATATTTTACCCATTCCAATAATACATATTTGATAACAGTCATCATCATCATCATCATCATCAGCCTATTAATGTCCCCACTGCTGGGGCACAGGCCTTCCCTATGGATGGAATAGGGAGATTGGGCCATGACCACGCGGGCCCAGTGCGGATTGGTGGGTGCTAACGACTGCAGATGCAGCCGGGACCAACGGCTTAACGTGCCTTCCGAAGCACGGAGGAGCTCGAGATAGTAAATTTTTGGTCACCCATCCAATGACCGACCACTGCGAATGTTGCTTAACTTCAACGATCGCAGCCGAACGCGCTAGCCACCTGCGCCATCGAGCTCCTAACCTTGATAACAGTATTCCTGAGTATTGTGTTCCTATCATTGTTCCTATATTATGAGTGATGTAGGCAGAACTCCAGGTAGGAGATGAAATGAAATGAAACAAGCACTTGTGAAGGTCAAGAAGCTACGGTGGGAGACCTTGTACTGAGAAGAACCTTTTTCTCCCTGTATTGATATATACAGAGTTGTCAAGTTGAAAATGACTTCAGAGATACTTCTGAAGTCACCTTCCATTACATTATTTAGGATGTAGATATATAATTACAATTAATTTTATATTTAGTATATAGGAAGCGGCATTAGATAGTGTACCATATTACTGTTACAAAAACTGACTAATACCCATCAAATAACAAATTACAAGAAACACTATGTCCATGCATTACGATCATTTAGATAATCATTAACTTTATAATAGCTCTTATTCATAAGAGTATTCTTGATCTGAGATTTAAAATATATTATATTTTCATAAATGTATTGCGATACCAGTGTTAAAATATTAATTTCTTTAAAATTTTCTCTAAGAGATTCTCTTGCCTTTAAATTATATATGGCGCGAACAGCTCTCTTTTGCAGTACGAAAATACTTTCTATATTAGCAGCTGAGCTCCACAATAAAAGGCCATATGACTATGAAAGTAACCAAAGTAAACCATTCTTGCCGTTTCCACATCAGTTAGGAGTATTATTTTTTTAACACCGAAAACCGCAGAGCTCAGTCTACTTGATAAGGCATCAATATGAGGATCCCATTGCAGATGCGAGTCTAAAGTAATACCCAAAAACTTTGTAGAATCCACTAATTCTACAGGCTGGTCATTTATTCTTAAACTAGTATTAACCTGCCTCACATTAGGTAAAGTAAACTTAACACATTTTGTTTTACTAGAGTTTATTTTTAAATTATTTACCATAAACCAGTGAAGGACTTCAGAGAGAGCACAATTTACTTCGACATAACAATCATTTCCTTTCTAGTTTTAAACACTTAAGAGGTGTCATCAGCAAATAATACTGTCTCACACAAATCTCTTGTAAAGTGAGGAAGGTTGATGTAAATGCGATGAAATCAGAGCGATTATATCAAAAACATATAAGCAGAAACGTGCGATTTATCTCCGTACTTCGGAAGGCACGTTAAGCCGTTGGTCCTGGCTACATCTACAGACGTTGGCATCCGCCAATCCGCACTGGGCCCGCGTTGAGGGTCAAGCCCCAATCTCCCTATTCCATCTATAGGGAAGGCCTGTGGCCCAGCAGTGGGGATATTAATAGGCTGATGATGTTCGAAACTTTCTGTTCTGGTATTACTAGCACCCGCAGTCTATAAATAATCTACGGTCGCATGCCACTGTTATTACATATAACCAAACAAGTTGTGTGCACAATTTATTTGTAATAGAGATGTTTGTATAGAACTGCCCTATCCCTGGGGGCCTACCGCCTAACGGGATTGCTACGTTTATAGCTATAGCTTATGATTTTATTTTGTCATGTCTGACCACCGAAGGTTTTCAAATGCCTCGCGCTAACAATATTATAGAAAATGAGTGTGAGCGCGTCCGTCTGTAATGTGACATTTATAGATGAACAAAAATTCGATGCGATGTAATAGAAGTTTAATTTTAAACAAAAGTGTAAAATTCCAAGCACTGTTCGGCTACGTTTTAAAATTTATAACTTTAGTTACATATTGAGTAATAGATTAAGTAGCACCACAATTCGGCGCAAGGTATTTCAGCTTATTATTAGTAGACTTCAGTGTTATTCGCAATATCCTTCGTCCGATAGCCCGCACGGAGAGTTCTTGAGTTTCAACCTGGCTCCAAATTGAGTTCAGAGTTATTTGCTCAGTGCTACAGCTGAGTACAGCTCACCACGTCACTACAATATACGGATTAGATTCTGAGTAAAATGCTAAACCAACATAGTATCTACTTTCTCATTACAAAGTAAGAACGAATTTAAAACGATAAGAATTAAACATCAAGCAGTTACATGCTTTGAAATAATAAAAATTATAACTATAATTGCTATTTCTTCTTTCAAATGTTTAATACTTGTCTTTTAATTGCTATTTCTTCTTTCAAATGTTTAATTCATTTGACATTGTGGTTTACCTATAATGCGAAGAGATGGCGCTGCCTTGCAACTTAAGAATGGCTAGAAGACTTTCGACGCGGTCCGTGAGGGCCGCAGTAGCATAATTGGTGAGTGCATTCGCCCGGATTGCGAAGGGTGCGGGTTCGAGTCCCGTCCACTGCCTGGTCCGCGTGGATTTTTTTCTAGTTATATTTTTTTTAGATTTAAACATCAAGCAGTTACATGCTTTTAAATAATAAAAATTATACGATAAGTATTTAATTAATATAAAGATAGATAATGCAACAGAAAGTGTGCTGCTCCAGCCATCCTCAGCTTGCCGACCTGAACCCAGTCCTCATCTTTCGATTGACAACACTGTATAAAATAAAACAGGGAGAAAACAATAGCCCTTGCTGAGTTTCTTGCCGGTTCTTCTCAGTACAAGGTCTCCGGGCGTAGATTTACGAACCGATGGCATAGAGTTGATGTTCACTAAAGCTTGTAACAGCCTGAATAAATGATTTTGACTTGAGTTGAGTTCCCAACCCCGTGAAGCCTTTTTTTCATACGCAGGCAAAAAATACTATTTACAGACGACAGCGCCTTTAAGAGGCATACCGCCGAACGAACCTCACACCTGGCTCCCGCAAGCCTTACGAGCCCCAGCAGTGACTGCTCACTGAGGACCCCGTAACACTTACGGGCGGTTTACGGCATAATATCCGCTAAAAACCCTGCGAATACTCTCTAAGCTGCTTAGCGCGAAGCCGCGGGATCCCCGTTTAGGGATTCTGCCGCGTCTCCGCACCTAGCGACCTCCTGGCCTAGACGGAACCCCGTGGAGCTCTGGAACCCTTCTCACCGACAGAAAAGAACACCACCAAAATGTAGTGTTATTTTCCTGTGGTCTCCTATAAGGTGGAGGTTGTTTCCCCAGACGGGCGCTTCGATTCGAGTGTGCCTTATCCGTTGTGCCCTACCACACTTAGGTTTGTCGTAAAGACATTTACATTTATACAAATTACCAACTAGCTAGAAAATGATAATTAATGCAAACTCACACATTTTTTACTGATATCCTAATGATTTTTAATAAATTTCACTAATTAGGTACACACAAACTTATCAGTCGGCTCGACCAGTTCAGAAATGATAAAAAGTAATTTATTTCTTTGTTTATCTGCCGTATTAACTGGCGATAAAAAAAAATTGTTTAGATTAGATTAGATTTCTTCAGTGATGGCTCCCTCGGGATTTGGCCAAGATTGTTTATATATTTTGGTGCGCAAAACTATTTAAAGTCAAACTATATTAATTAATATTAGTTCATAATGACAATCTGTTTGTTCTATCTTATCTAGAGGGGTATTAAAGTGTGTTTTTTTCAAATTTTAAATACCTAGTGTAAGAAATCAGAAATCAGAAATCAATATATCTTTATTCAAATTGGATGTATAGTACAACACTTTTGAATCGTCCAAACATTTTTTTTTTCCCTACCACTCGTTATTGGACATATTTTTTAGCTGCGGAGAAAAACGAGCGAAAAAAACTCCACAACATTAAAAGCATAATGTAACAACATTTACAAATCATTATGTTGTTACAACGTCAATACAATCATGATTTATTTAATATAGAAAACCTGTTGAAATGATTGGAACAGTTCAAACCCAAGCATTTTTGTCTGTAATATAATCAGACACTTTGTAATAAGCTTTTTTAATAAGTGCTTTTTTTATACTATCTTTGAATTTATTTATGCTTAACTCTTGGATATTGCTTGGGACTTTATTGTATAAGCGAACACAAAGACCTTTAAATGAATTATTGATTTTGTGAAGCCTAGTAGCAGGTAAAGTTAGTTTATTTTTGTTTCTTGTATTAAGTGTGTGAACATCACTGTTTTTAAGAAACAAATTAATATTTTTTCTTACAAGTAATAAATTTTCGTAAATGTATTGTGATGCGACCGTCATTATACCAAATTCTTTAAACCTATCTCTTAAGGAATCCTTAACTTTAAGATTATAAATTGATCGAATAGCTCTCTTCTGCAGCACAAAAATAGTTTGAATGTCGGCGGCGTTTCCCCACAATAAAATTCCGTACGACATTACACTATGGAAATAACTAAAGTATACTAATCTGGCCGTATCTACATCCGTTAACTGGCGTATCTTCATTACGGCATATGCTGCAGAACTAAGTCTATTTGACAATTTATCAATATGTGGGCCCCATTGAAGCTTAGAATCTAAAGTAATCCCTAAGAATACTGTGGTGTCTACAAGGCCCATATTCCTATCCTTTACATTCACACTGGTTTTTACCTGTTTTACATTAGGTAATACAAATTTAATACATTTCGTTTTTCCTTCATTTAGTAATAAATTATTAACATTAAACCAGTGGACTACCTTAGAGATACAACTGTTCACGTCGTCAATAACTGTTTCCTTACGTTTGAGTTTAAATAAAAGTGATGTATCATCCGCGAACAATACTATCTCATGCTTATCTCTAACGTAGTAAGGTAAGTCATTAATATAAATTAAAAATAAGAAAGGACCAAGGATTGAGCCCTGCGGAACACCCATTTTAACCGGCGAACCCGCAGACTTATTGCCGTTAATGTCAACCCTCTGAATCCTATCCATCAGGTATGACGCAATAAGATCCAGATCAGTATCTCTAAATCCATAGTGGTGGAGTTTCCTGAGTAATGTTTCATGAAAAAGGCAATCAAAAGCCTTGGACAAGTCGCAAAACACACCTAGAGCGTCCTGCGAGTTCTCCCAGGCGTCAAAAATTTGTTGTATAAGTTCAACACCGGCATCGGTTGTTGAACGACCCCGTGTAAAACCAAATTGTTTACAGTGAAGTATATTATATTTATTAAAATGTGATTGCATTTGATCTAACATGATTTTTTCGAAAATTTTACTAAAGGTGGGTAGCACAGAAATTGGTCTAAAGTTTGTGGGGTCTGATGTACTTCCCGTTTTATGCAAAGGAGTTATTTTACTGTATTTCATGAGGTCAGGAAAAACACCACAGTCAACACAATCATTAAATATGCAAGCTAGAATAGGAGCTATTGTCTCAATTACCGATTTAGAAACATCAACGGAATTGCCCCACAGATCCGTGGTTTTCTTTTTATTTAATTGGTGAAACGTTTTAATTACATCTTTGAAGTCAACATGTTTAAAATGAAAATGACTAGTACAAGGTTTCACGTTTTCTCTTAAGATTGATTCAGCAGCAATGGGGGAAGAGTTCAAAGATTTAGTAGTTGAAACTGGAATATCAGTAAAGAAATTTTCGAAAGCTGTAGCAACTTCAATATCTGAAGTAACCCTTTTATTATCAATATTTAAGTTATAATTATTATTGCGAGTTTTGGATTTTCCAGTTTCATCGTTTATAATATTCCATGTCGTTTTAATTTTGTCATTACTGTTCTTAATCTTTGAACTTAAGTAATTTGATTTTGCTAAGCGGCATACTTTTTTAAACAATTTAGAATAGTTACGAACATGCTCTTTAAATTTTTCACTAGTGTTACAGTTTCTTTCATTATAAAGTTCATAAAGTGTCCTTCTACTTTTATGAATTCCAGGCGTAGCCCACTTAGTAAAAGTTACCGCATCATTAATACAGATTTTTTTGGGTACAAAAACATTATTAAATTCAGTGCAGTATATATTAAAAAAATCATTATATAAATCATTTGGACTGTCTTTATATTTTAGATAACACATTTTTCTATCTAATTGAGTTTTAAAACGTTCCACACGATTAGCAGATTTTGGTACAACAGTCATGTGTTTTTTTGTCACCTGCTTGAGCTGATATGGAAATGTAATCAACTGGCCACACGTAAGGTTTGTCTATCTATCTATCTTTATATATATAATTCTTCTGTGAGTGTGTATGTCACTGAACTTCTCTTAAACGACTGGACCGATTTTGATGAAAATTTTTGTGTGTGTTCAAGGGGATCTGAGAATGGTTTAGATTCACAATTTTGCCCGCTGGACAACCCCTATTTTTTTAGGGCGGTACGAAGTTCGCTGGGTCAGCTAGTATATATATAAAACTCAAAGGTGACTGGACTGACTGACATAGTGATCTATCAACGCACAGCCCAAACCACTGGACGGATCGGGCTGAAATTTTGCATGCAGTTAGATGTTATGACGTAGGCAACCGCTAAGAAAGGATTTTGATCAATTCTACCCCCAAGGGGATAAAATAGGGAATGAAAGTTTGAATGAAACTTTGTCAATTTTAAACCGATCGCGCTGAGACTTTGCATGCAGGCATAAGAAGAATCATAGATGAATGCCATTGTGTATAATACAAGCCTGAGAACAAAATCTGTAGTCTACACTTCAGCTCTACACCGAAGCGAAGCGAGGGCGGGCCGCTAGTTTTCTATAAAGTCGAATTCAATACAGTATCGATTATTAATATTCGTAGTTTCATTCAGCCACGGCTGCCATTATTTTCAGTTAAAGTGAAATTATAAAGTGCCCGCGTGGTGGATCATGGCCCAATCTCCCTATTTCATCAATAGGGAAGGCTTGTGCCCCAGCAGTGGGGACATTAATAGGCTGATGATGATGAATCTCCACGTAGTGAATAAAAAGTACATTCTTCGTGCGTCTAGCTTACTGCACCTTTAGCACGAACTACAATAGAATTCGAATAGTTAAATTCGATCTGATTATACGTCAAATGTGTACTAATTGTTAGTCCTCGTTACGTCCGTTGTGGCGCTGCTGTTCAAGTTACCATACAAAATTTGACAGTGACATTATTTCCCACTCGCAAACTATTCGAATTCGATTGCGGTTCGTGGTAAGGGTACTTACTCATGTTCGATGTAGACCTATATGTATACATAAATTAGTTAGTACTTATATCAAAACAGTTGATGTAAAATGTACGAAGGAGTTATCATTTTTGATTATGAGATATTATTTTTATACTAGCAATCTGACATCCAAAGAAGCTACGATTATTGTGTACAGTATCCCTAGCACGAACCATTATCGAATTCGAATAGTTTGCAAACCGAAATGTCAACGTCAAATTTTGTATGGAAACTTGAACAGCAGAGGCACAAAGTACGTAACGAGAACTAAAAATCAGTACACATTTGACAATGACATTTCGGACTCGCAAACGATACGAATTCGATATTGGTTCGTGCTAAGGGAACCGTACCTTAGAATGAACCAATATCGCATTCGAATTGTTTGCGAGTGCAAACAATGTTATTAAATATTTTCGTTGAGAGCAAAATGTCATTGTCAAATTTTGTATGGAAATTTGAACAGCAACGCTATAACGGACGTAACAAGAACTAAAAAACGACGGGTTGCATTCCTGGAGTGCCGGCAGAAGTGAAAACTTGAATATTAACGTTGTGCATTTTTGATATTTTGGAATGGTTAGGGAATAATTTTGCACGAATTGCTTTAATTATTAGTATAAAAGTACCATCATGTATGTGGTAGAATACAATATTTATTTATTGCGCTATCGTACACAAACATGAAAATTTATATTACATTAAAAAGTTTATCTCTCAGTAAAATCAACTTACATGAATCACGTTTAAGCGCACCTAGCGCCATCTATTGTAAAAAAAATGCATTTTCTTCGCAATAAAGCTACCACGTGGACGTCCTAGATAGAGACTTATTATTATACGACAAAATAAAATATTACTATGTTTCGTCCAATACATTGAGTGTCAACAACCTTTCCAATTTTATTGTGTGTCATGATGCGATCAGCCCACGTGTTTAACCTGACGCGAGTTTAACATTTTTTAACCATACAAAAAAAAGTGTGCAACGCCGCTAAAGAAGTTTTCACTTCAAAAATCAGTACATAAATATGTCAAATGACAATGACATTACGAATAGTCATGTCATCGAAAGATTGCATCCAATGATGGTTTCTATCCGATATGCTAACCGAGTCATTCTTATTCCACAACAATACTTTGTTATGCTAGTTCCACACCAGCGCGGCGAAGTCTTGGTACTAAAATGCAGTAACTTATCATTTAATTAGCGGATTTTAGTACTACAACAATTAAGTACAAATTAAATTAAAGGATGGCCTGGACTTAATTTTAGTGTATAGACCGCCACACATGAGTAAAAATAAAGGACATTGTTCTGCGTCCATACATAGTTAGCCTAAGAACCAACA